TTCTAGTATGTATATTCTGGAGGACATGTGCTTAAAAGCAGAAAAAAGTATTTCACGGAACTTGACTTCTGCTTCTGTTGTTTGTAAAACTGTATTTCAAACTCCATCCAGGTCTCCACATGGGTGGCAGGGACCCAATACTTGGAACTTCATCCACTGCCTTCCCAGGGCCACTAGCAGGAAGCTGGATTGGAAGCCATCTGATGTGGGATGTGGGTATGCCAAGCTGCAGCTAACCCGCTGTACCACAAAGCCTGCCTCGAGATGTCTTTTCTTGTTTTTAAGATTTACTTATTTGAAATGCAGAGTTCTAGAGAAAGAGAAAGGGGGAGAGAGAGAGAGAGAGAGGGAGAGAGAGAGAGAGAGTGTTTATATCTGCTGGTTCACTTGCCAAACGGCTGCAAAGGCCTATCTGGTCCAGGCCAAAGCCAGGAGCCTGGAGCTCCATCCAGGTCTCTCCCACAGATGGCAGGGGCCCAAATACTTGGTACATTAGCAGGGAGCTGGATTAGAAGTAAAGCAACAAGACCTCGAACCAGTAATCCAATATGGGGTGCTGGCAACATAGCCTGCTGTGCCACAACATCAGCCCCTGTACTTCCTTATCACTGAGATGATAATGGGTTCTCTTTGTTTTAAGGAGTACACCTAAAAGCCAAAACCATTTCTAAGACATGCATGAATATATACTTGCCCATTTTAGTTGGAATTCAGCATTTGTTGTTAGGCTTTCATTTATTATTCAAGAAGTTTCAAAGGAAATTTTCAAAATTATTTATTTTTATATTTTTATTTATTTCAGTTAGACAGAGGGTAGAACTCCCACCCGCTGGTTTACTCCCCGAATGCCCACAGCAGCCATAGCTGGGCCAGGCTAAACCTGGGAGCTGGAAACAATTCCAGGTCTCCTACATAGGTGGCAGGGACCAAACTGGCTGAGCCTCTCTGGGTGTGCATTACCAGGAAGCTAGAATCAAGGACAGAACTATGACTTCAACCCAGGTACTCTGACACCAGATGTGGGCAGATCAAGTGGGGTCTTCAATGCTAAGCCAAATACTCACCCTGATTCCCAATTTCTATTAGGTGACTGTAGTAAAATCCAATTAATATAATATCACTTCTGATACTGCTTAGTACGTAGTGCACAAATAGAGTGCCTAATTATAATGCCTTAAATGTTGATATACCCAGTAACTTTAAATTTTCTCTATGTTGTTCATGGCTTAAATGATATTACCTATATCAGTCTTTAAAATAACTAAGAGTAGTTAGTTACTATTACACAATGCAGTTTAAAATTTTTTTCACTTAGAATAACTTGGAGCTAACATGTCTAATTCTTGAGAGATTATGATTTAGTTTCTTTATGAATGAACATACTGCAAAAGCTGATCACTAATCTTTCTGGTTACCTATCTTGCACCTCTTGATTGATCCAGTGTATGTTTAAAAAAAAAAAAAAAACAATGAACGGGCTGGTGAAGTGGCATGGCGAGTTAAGTCTCTGCCTGTAATGTATCCCAAATGGTTTGAATACGGGCTGCTTTACATTTTTTTCCCCAGTGATTGTTTAAATTTATTTGAAAGGCAGAATTATGGAGAGAGAGAGAGGTCTTCCATCCACTGGTTCACTCCCCAAATGGCTGCAACGGCCAGAGCTGGGCTGATCCAAAGCCAGAAGCCAGGAGATTCTTCCGGGTCTCCCATGCGAGCGCAGGGCCCAAGGACTTGGGCCATCTTCTAGTGCTTTCCCAGGCCATAGCCGAGGTTTTTTGTTTGTTTATTTGTTTGCTGCTCTACTTCTGATCCAGCTCCATGCTAGGCCTGGCCCCTGCCACCCACATGTGAGATCTAGATGGAGACCCAGACCCAGGCTCCCAGATTTGGCCTGGTTCAGCTCTTGCTCTCTTTCTCTCTCTAACTCTGCCTTTCAAATAAATAAACAAATCTTTTTAAAAATATAATGAACCAGTTGTAATTAACAGACATTTAACAAGTGGTCAGTAAGGGGCCAGCTCTGTGGCACAGCAGGTTAAGCTGCTGCCTTGTGATGTCAGCATCCCATACTGGAGTGCCAGTTGGAGTCCTGGCTATTCAGCTCCCTGATAATGCGCCTGGGAAGGTAGAGCAGGATCACTCAGGTATTTGGGACCCTGCTGCCAGAGTCCAGCTCCAGCAGGTCCAGGGGTTCCTGAAGGTGTGGGAAGCATTGGCGCAGGTAGAATGAGAGACACACTTACAGCAAGGCTGAATGGCATGGTCCTGGCTCTCAAGCACCAGACTTTATATTTTTATATCATGTCACATAATGATTCTTTCTTCTTAGAATAACAAGTCTGTTGTCCATTTTCTTAGAACCACTGACCTTATATTTTATGTTGCCTCTAGATTCTATGTCTACATCTAGTTACAATTTCTTTGACTTTCAAGGGATATTCAGAGTATGGGTTACAGTCACAGACAAGTGCAAGATAACGGGCTGCCCACACAAGTCAAGGCCTGGAGTGCTGTCAAGCTATGAAGAAATTAGTTACAGAAGCTACAGTATTACCTTCCTAATCTAATCTTTACTAGAAGCCCCCATGTTCAAAGCAGGCCCCTCTTTTAAATGTATCCCCTCTTTTGCAGTTCTTTCTGTAACTCTTTAATTTTTTTATTGTACTTATCTAAAAGTTCACTTAGATCTATTCCACAGTTTTGACACTCCAAGCATTATTGTATTTGTAGCACATATTGAATTAAAGCTTTAATAACATTTATCTTTATTTTAGTGGGAAGTATATACCAGGGAACCTGTTGCCTTTTAATTCTTTTCCACAAACAGTTCAACCTTGTGTAAAGCATTAACCTCTTCTACACTAGCATTCTGCTTGATTAAAATTCTACAAAGCAATGGACATTTTGGGGATTATGGGACTAAGTGTTCTTCCCTAAAAATAGGAATACAGCAATCATTAGTGGGACCAGCAGGGAGCTCCGGCTTTCTAATGCAGAGTGTAGTTCCCAACAAACCTAAAACTACCAAGAGGACCACGGCTGTCCTTCTCACACCTTGCTGAGACAGACCTTCTGCTGTGACCTTGTCAGCCAGCCAAAGCTGCCTTGTCCTCACTACCCTGCTACCTATGTTGGAGACCTGGATGGAGTTTTTGGCTCCTGACTCCAGCCTGGCCCAGCCATAACTGTTGCAACCACTTGGAGAATGAACCAGTGGATGGATGATCTGTCTCTGTCTTTTCTTCCTTTTTTTCTATCACTCTGCCTTCTGATTAAATAAATAAATTTTTTAAAAAAGAGGATCCTATTTAAAGATCTGTTTAAAAAAAAAAAAACACTGGGGTTGGTGTTGTAGTGTAGTGGGTTGGGCCACCGCCTGAGATGCTGCCATCCCATATGGGTGCCAGTTCAAGACCAGCTGCTCCACTGCCAATCCAGTTTCCTGTTAATGTGCCTGGGACAGCGTGGAAGATGGTCCAAGTACCTGGGTCCCTGCACCTACATGAAAGACGTGGAAGAAGCTCCTGATTCCTGGCTTCAGCCTCGTCCAGCCCTGGCAGTTGCAGCCATCTGGGGAATAAATCAGGGGATGAAAGATCTCCCTCTCTCTTTCTGTGTCTCTCTTTATATATATAAACCCTGCCTTTTACATAAATAAATCTTTTTTAAAAATACTAAGGCACATCTAGGTAACTTGGTAGGGCTTTCACAATAAGTATTAAAATAAGCTTTTTCTCCCTTGCCTTTCCTGAAGATGAAATCAAAACAGAAAAACCACCCCTCAAGTAGAATATGAAATATTTTAAAATCTTAAGGTAAGTTTTCTAGTTAAAATAGGAGGTTTTTCTCACATATTTCTTTTCCCTATCAAAAAACCTGCTAAAATAACAGAACCTTTCAAAGATGTTCCTGACCAAAGACAAAGTGACTACAAGGTGAGACAATAGTGAACGAGAAATGTCAACTCATTTTCAGAAGGTCGATACAACTGGGAGCACTGATCAGAGAATCAATGATGGAGAAATTAAAAGGGAATTCAGAAATCAGAAGATTGTATATGGTAAATGTCTGCAAAGGGTAATGCCAAAGAGACTATCGTCCTGGTAAGAGAACCTGAGGGCGAATGTTTTGTTAGCAAAACATTCCAGGTGTGGGGCAGGAAATACGGGACTCACTAATGTCTGTGTTCAGAGTTGGATATCCAGGATCCCTTTTCCACCCTATGAAGCTAACTAATTCTTTTGCATCCCAAAGAAGACAGAAATCTCATTTTCTGGATAAATTACACCAAGGCATGCCCAAATTCAGAAAAAGCAGGTACACATGAAAGCTGGGTATATATTATGTGGAAGGACTGTCACCCCTCTTCCATCTTAGCCTCATTAAATCAGCATCTGGACATACAACTTCTCCCCCTACCACCTCAATAAACACTGGAAGATTATCTCTGAAGAAATCATGTGGTCCAGAGAAAGGAATTCCAGTTACTGACACTTATGCATCTCCAAAGAAAAAGCCAGGTCACTACTTACTACAAATGAAGACAAACTATCCATGCTTTTTAGTGCCTCATTTTAAAATATTATTTGACACCAAAGTATAATCAGACAAGGAACACTTTGAATAAAATAATCATTTCAGCATATTTTCCAACTTCCAGATTTTGTTTTGACCTCCAAAATAAAATAGTGACTAAGATTTAGAACATAAGCCTTCAAAGAATTTATTCCAATGTTGGGATTATGAACATCTGATAGGAAAAACGTTATGTCCTGACAGTAATAACCTTACTGATGTCCAAAACTACATCTTGTCTTGGAAACTAAACATATTTGTATCCTAACATCTATTCTCCTGCATAAAGCTGTGTGAGTTCTCAACAAGAACCTCTGAATTTAGCAAGCAAACAGCACTAGGATCACACAGCTCTTTTCTATCAAATTTCTTAGCACTTTATAAACACCTACCTTCTAAGTCACTTATGAACCACTGTGTCTTACCTCTAGAAAGATGAGAATTCCAGGTTTCACCAGAGCTGCAGCCCAGATCCTTGAAAAAATAGTAAAAGTAAACATAAAAACATAAATATACTGCATAGTTATGCTGATTATTTTTCATCAGTTTGAAAAGTAGTGTGACAGAAGTCTTCCATTTGCTGGTTCACTCCCCAGATGAAGAGAATGGGGGCTGAGTCAGGTGGAAGACAAGGACCCAGAATTCCATCAGGGTCCCCCACGTGGGTAACAGGGCCCCACACACTTGAGCCATAGCCTGCTCCCTCCTCAGGAAGCCAGGTGGGAAGAGGATAGGGGATGCAGGCCCCCCAAACAGTCTTTTAACATGCTGCATACAGCACAGCACATCCTGACAGCATATTTTATGAACTAGTAGAGAGCTCAGACTCCAAACACAAAGTAGTGATAAGGAACTGGAAATGCGAATTGCCCCGATTGGATCAGTACATGCTGTATCAGGTAATGACTATCACACTGTACTCCATAAATATGTGTAATTATCACATTTTTAAAAACTTGAGGGCCGGTGCCGTGGCTCACTTGGTTAATCCTTCGCCTGGGGTGCCAGCATCCCATATGGGTGCCAGTTCTAGTCCTGGTTGCTCCTCTTCCAGTCCAGCTCTCTGCTGTGGAGGATGGCCCAAGTGCTTGGGCCCTGCACCCACATGGGAGACCAGGAGGAAGCACCTGGCTCTTGGCTTCGGATTGGCACAGCACCGGCCGTAGCGGCCATCTGGGGGATGAACCAGCGGAAGGAAGATCTTTCTTTCTGTCTCTCTCTCTTTCTCACTGTCTAACTCTACCTGTCAAATTAAAAGCAAAAAACAAAAAAACTTGAAAAAAGAAGCAGCCACCAAGTCTCATGCAGCAAGCCCCAAGTAGTGAGCCCGTGGTTTCCGTTTTAAAGCTGTTTCTGTAGATTACCCGCTGTGAAGCCAGCATGCCCTGTTTAGTGTGGTGAGAAAAGGCAAACTCCACAGCAAGAGAAAAGCACTCCCCACTCCGGCACCCGCCGGGGCAGAGCAGCAGACAGGCGCCCATAATCGCAAGAATTGATCTAAAGGCTTCTGAGGGCTGCATTACAATTTACAGAAAGTACTCAGCAGCCCACTTCCTGCGGACACGGCCTGGCCGCCGGCACGGCAGCAGCCCGGCCTGGGGCTCGTGGGCAGGCTCGAGGCCTCTGGCGGGCGAGGGTTATTCCGGTGCGCGGGCAGGGCGGGGCGGCCCGAGGCCCAGCGTGGAGTTAAGCCGCCTCCCTGGCCGAGGAGTGGGAGCCCACAGCAGGCGGCTGAGCCTGGCCTACGCTCCAGAAAGCTGCCTTCCCGGACAGCTGAAAGCCAGCGGCGAACATGAAGAACAGCCCCGGCCTCCAGGCCGCCATCGACCTCACGGCGGGTGCGGTGGGGGGCACGGCGTGCGTACTCACCGGGCAGCCCTTCGACACGATGAAAGTCAAGATGCAGGCGTTCCCCAGCCTGTACTCGGGCCTCACCGACTGCTTCCTGAAGACCTACTCCCACGTGGGGTTGCGGGGCCTCTACAGGGGCACAGGCCCCGCACTGATGGCCTATGTGGCCCAGAACTCTGTCCTCTTCATGTGCTACGGTTTCTGCCAGAAGTTTGTCAGGAGCGTGGCCGGACTGGACAAGAAGGCGAAGCTGAACGACCTGCAGTCTGCGGCCGCGGGCTCCCTGGCCTCGGCGTTCGCCGCGCTGGCCCTCTGCCCCACTGAGCTGGTCAAGTGCCGGCTGCAGACCATGTACGAGTTGCAGCTATTAGGGAAGATAGCAAAGAGCCATAATACAATTTGGTCTGTGGTGAAGAGCATCCTCAGAAAGGACGGCCCCTTAGGCTTCTACTACGGACTCTCGAGCACTCTGCTGCAAGAAGTACCGGGCTATTTCTTCTTCTTCGGGGGCTACGAACTGAGCCGATCGTTTTTTGCCTCAGGCAGATCAAAAGATGAACTAGGTCCAGTTCCATTGATGTTAAGCGGTGGAGTTGCTGGAATCTGCCTCTGGCTTGTCATATTCCCAGTGGATTGTATTAAGTCCAGAATTCAAGTTCTTTCCATGTATGGAAAACAGGCAGGATTTTTTGGAACTCTTTTGGGCATTGTGAAATATGAAGGAATAGCAGCCTTATACTCTGGACTGAAACCTACCATGGTTCGAGCAGTCCCTGCCAATGGGGCACTATTTTTGGCCTATGAGTACAGTAGGAAGATGATGATGAGCCAGTTGGAACCCTGCTGAAGTGTCTTGGTGAAACTGGATCCAACCACAGGAGTCTGAAGACTGAGGTTCCATTGAGTGTTCTTGGAGTACTAGATATGTGTAATTATTTTCCTCCTCATGGGAATTTTGATTTTTGTCTTCACATACTCTCTCCTCAATCTTAAACATTTGGAAGGGCTTCTACATCATAAAATTTCTGCCTGCAATTGTATTGCAATAGAAATGTAGCTGTGCATGCCTTTGGTGGGGTACACAGCATGAGCCAGAGACCCCAGGTACCTAATCTGAAAGGCTAAATACAGTTCTTTCAGGGTGAAACACAATGTGGTTTCATGTTTAATCTTAATATTGCCCAAAAAAGCCAACCTTGACCATGTTCCATGTAGACAGTCACACATGATTGCTTAATTCATTTAAAATTCAGGCTCTTTTCTCAAGTTTGCTTAAGACAACCAGTCTATTAGGTTGTTAATGCTTTTAAAAAGTTTTTGTGTGGTGCTTGAGAACCAAACTACCCATGTAGATTTTTTAACTTCTAACTTCTAATAATTTTATTATTTTATTTGAAAGGCAGAGTGACAGAGACAGAGTCTTATCCCATCTGCTGGCTCACTTTCTAAAAGCCCACAGTAGCTAAGGCTGAGCCAGGCTGAAGCCAGGAGCCAGGAACTCAGTCTCCCACTCGAGAGTCAGGGACTGAAGTAGTTGAGCCATCACCTGCCACCTCCCAGGGCACACATTAAGAAGAAGCTAGGATGGAGACTGGACCCCAGACTTGAACCCTGGCACTCCAATGTGGGACACAGGCATCTTAACCATCAGCCTAACCACAAGGCCAAATGCTCATTCCCCTCACATAGATTTTTAAGAAGAAAATGTAGCTGCATGCTGATGCGAAGTAGTCTCTGAGTAGACGTGCTGAATTTTCCCAAGATTTTCTTATAATGGTGGTGGGACCAGTGCTGTGACACAGTGGGTTAAAGCCCCGGCCTGCAGCACTGGCATCTCATATGGGCACCAGTTCGAGTTCCAGATGCTCCACTTCCAAAACAGCTCCTTGTTAATGTGCCTGGGAAAGCAGCAGAGGATGGCCCAAGTCCTTGGGGCCCTTCACCCACATGGGAGACCCAGGAGAAGCTCCTGGCTCCTGGCTTTGGATTGGCTCAATTCTGGCTGTTGTGGTCATTGGGGGAGTGAACCAGCTAATGGAAGATCCCCTCCCCCCTTCTGTCTGTCACCTCTCTCTGTCTCTACCTCTCGCTGTAACTCTGTCTTTCAAATAAATAAAATAAATTTTTTTTAAAAAATAGTGGCATTCATTCTAAGTGGGACTATAATCTGCATTGTAACTATATTATTGGGCCTAGAGGATCAGGTCATTGGAAAGCAGAACGGCCATCATCTGCACCAGCTTCCCCTCTTCTCTTTTCCCAGAGAACCAGGCTTTAGACTGAGGGAGGGGCGGGGGCATGGGGATGTGCTGCTATGCTTTGATGAAGACCCATATGACTGAAAACAGTTCTTCTAGTCCCTGAGTCTGGGCTTGCATAGGACTCCAGGGTGTTCTGTTGGTGCATTTAGGAGTTTTTGATTCATCTGGGTTTACTCACTGTTCTATCTGCTTCCACCAGTCAAAAACTCTTCCAGGGCACAGAAAGTGCCAAAGCCAAGGGGAACTTTTGCTCCTTTCTTGGTGACAGAGTGATAGCACTACTGGGTGATATCATGTTCTCTCAGGTGAAACTAGAAAGTACTTAGTGCTTTTATTTTCCAATAAGTAATGTCAGGGGTGACCCATTCTTGAAATTGTACCTTTCGGGTCTACAAGCCCTTGTGCTTTTACAGTGCTAGATACAGCCTTCTAAATTTGGTATGGGCCATCCATGAATTTTAATGAGACTGTATATAGGGTATGACTTTATAAAGCAAATAAGTCTAAGGAAAGTAATTTTATTAAACTATACCATATGTATGTCTATAGTCACTGGTAGAAAAAAAAAAGCAAATAGCAAAATCCCACACACATCAAAACAAAGCAAAAACCCATTCCCCCCAAATCCTAGTTTACCTTTTCTCCACAGACTTGGAGGTAAGTAGCTAGTCTTTGTCTATATTGGCATGAGAGAGTCATTCCTGTCACCACTAAAATAAGCTTCATCATTCCATGCTGCTCCAAGACCAGCAGTCTTAATAGTAGTCCATGCCATGGATGTCTATCACTGCGCCAGAATTTCAATCCTGAATGAAAACTTCGTTCCCTAAGCTTGTCATTCTCCAAACTTTCCTGTTAACTCTAACCCTAGTGCCAGAAGCAACAGGAGCAGGGAAACCAGACGCTGACAAAGGCTACTGGGACTCAGGAAGGGGATGGGTAATGCTGAGCCTGGAGTGCTTGGCAGCTATGACTGCTCTTCCATTACATTTGCTTGTACTTTCAAAGAAAACCATTGTTTTCTACTTCACTTTTGAGCTTTTAATATACTTAAGTTATATATTCCATACTTACATGGTCAGTAGCTATTGAGTGGTGCTTTATCTGAGTAGGTATACATTAAAGTAGAATTGAAAACAGATCTGGCTTTCATCCAGAAGTGGGTTGTTTTCGTTTGCCTGGCACCTGTGAACAAAGCTAAGTTAGTTCTGATGTCAGCAGACCTTCACGCATGCCATCTTTTAAAGGATTAACTAAACCTCTACAATAGAACAGTATGAAGCAAGTAAAAGTGAGTGGAATTGAGGAATGGAAATTAAGTCAGGAGTACTTTTCCCCCCATTCTATTTGCTTAATTTGTCATTTAATATTTGGGTACAATTTGTATCATTCCAGGTATGTACTCCAAACAAAAATACTTGAAATACTGTTTTTTAAAAAATTTATTTATTGCTTGAAAGGCAGAGAAACAGATTTCTTATCTGCAGGTACACTCCCCAAATGCCTATAAATAGCAAGGTGCGGGCCAGGCCAAAGCCAGGGGCCTGTAACTTGATCCTGTTTTCCCACACAGCTTGCAGTGACCTAAGTATTTGGGCCATCACCTGCTGACTCCCAAGGTGCTCATCAGCAGGAAGCTGGAATTGGAAGTATAGCTGAGACTCGAACCAGGTACTCTGATATGGGATGTGAACATCTCGAGCAGATCTGAAAAACCATACCAAACAACTACCCTGAAATACTGTTGTTTTAAAAAATCTGAGTGTTAAATCATTAAGTTATTTATCTGCATAAAAATATTTATTTAGGGGCCAGTGTTGTAGCATAGTGGGTAGGGCCACCACCTATAAGGCCTGCATTCTATGTAGTACTGTTTCAGTTCTCAACTGCTGTACTTCCGGTCCAGCTCCCTGCTAATGTGTCTGGGAAAGCAGCAGAAGATGGCCCAAGAGCTTGGGCCCCTGCATCCATATGAGAGACCAGGATGAAGCTCTGGCTTCTGGCTTCAACCAGCCTTGGCCACTGTCACCATTTGGGGAGTAAACCAGTAATGGATAATCATTGTCTCTTCTCTCTATAGCTCTGCCTTACAAATAAATCTTAAAAGATTTTCTTACTCAACTCATACCATTTATAATATTCATATAGTGCTCTGGTTGTTAAAACACTAATGGTATCTGTTTTTTCTCAACGATCTTATGGTGTAATTGTTCTACAGTTAGAAGAGTAATAATCTAGAATAAAATTTAAAAGAAAAAAGGCAGACTCCAACCTGTGTGTGTGTGTGTGTGTGTGTGTGTGTGTGAAATCAGTGATAGAACCTCTGAATTTAAGGAACTCTTCCTTCTGTTTTTGTATTGTGATTTTTTGTATTCCTTTATTGCTGCAGTATTTGTTTTCAATATTGAAATTGGTCAGCTCTTTCTGATGCCTAGCTTTGTTTTAAATTTTACTAAATTTACCCCTCAACTGAAAAACCTTTTCTGTTATTTATGACTCCCTTTGGGCTACTGCCAGGGCCAAATTGTCTGCATTTCACAATGTAGCTGGAAAATCATTCTCTTCCTAGCTTCCACAGGATCCCAAGATGCACTAAAGTACATGGGATCTCTCAGAAGGATCGTTAAGAGGTCATGGAGTATCAAACTTGCTCATTTGCTTCATGGTCTTGTTGCCCAATTGGCAAGAGAGGTAATTTGTTTTCTTCTGGCCCAGACCTCTAATTAGGGGTGATAGTTACTCTAGGAAATTAACTGGACACATAACAGCACCTGGAGATTTGTACTTACAGCTAGGAAGTATTCCTCTGCACGGGGCCTTCATTTCCAACTTGGGCAACTCCTAGGCTTCGAAACCCCTGTTTAAAGCCTGTAACTTGTTGGTCTCTCTGATCTCTCCATTTATGTAGAATGGCTCAGAAATCTCTTGAGAGCCTTTTTAGAAAGTAAATGTCATTGTTGGGACCCTCACCCAGGTCTCTGTCCTGCCTTGTGTTCTCAGCTACCTCCTGATGACAGCTCTTAAGAATGGGCTCCTAGTCAGTGATGGTGTTTAAAGGTGGACCACAACCTTTGGTCATCGCTACTGATGCTTCACTGCACAAAGCTTAATAGTCTTTTCAAAACAAGTTAATCTGACAACATTGGCTTCATTCTGCACGAGACAAACATGTTCACTACGGACGAGTAGTTTTGTAGAACACTGATGTTGCTCAACACTCCTACTCACTCGTGTGAAAATAATGTCCCCAGGAGGAGTCTGTTTCCTTCCTGGGGATGCCTGGTAACCCTATATGGCGAGTCTTCCTACTGCAGCCTAAAAGGGTTTCACTGAGCTCTTGTTAACCAGCCGCACTCTTAAGCAAACATGAAGGAGGCTGTCTGGCTTTAGACATTGACCTACAAAAGACTCTTTTTTGCCTTGGGTGAAAAGCGTCCTGCTGCCTTCGGGGAAATGGCGGACTTCTCTCTCGCCAGTGCTCAGGCTACCGGTCTGGGTCCTCCACTTTACTTTGCTCTAAAGTGCCTTCCCCCTCTCCTCCGCACCGGCCATGGGGATCCGGTCGGCTTCAGGGGCCGGTTTGGTGGCGAAGAGGCTGCGCAGCCGGGTTGGCCTCCGATTCCGGAGCCCGCGTTGGCGCCATCACTATCTTCCGGTGAGCGCTGCCCGGATCTGAGCATGCGCAGGGCTACGTTTTTCTCCTTTCTGCCCCCACGGTCCCCCCACCCCGCTCTTGGCTTCTTTCGTGGCGTCAAAGCTGACCCGGCACCGCTGAGACCCCTGATCCGCGTCCAGTAGTTGTTCCTCTTCCGTTGCAGCCGCCAAGCGAGGCCAGGAGGCTCTAGGGTTCTGGGCCTTACATCCTTGACAGGGAGGCCTGAAGGCTTGGTGGGGGTCGCACACTTGTGGCAAGGATCATCCTTGGGATTCCGTGTGCGTTGTGTTCTGTCGCACCTACTCTTTTGGTTTAGTATGGTCCTGAACTGGATTATCATCAACTCTCATTGTTAGTCCATATGGGACATGCTTCATTTACCTACCTGTCCACTATCATCTACCTTTGTATCTGTTTAGTCTTCTACCTGAGCAGTGATAAAAATCCCAACACAGCTGCTCTCCCCCACCTCCACGAAATGCAATCATCACCCTCAATTCAATATGCAGCCTTCTTGGCCCTGTTGAATATCCTTTTATTCTACCTATTTCTATCTCTTGCTTTCTGGGTATACACACATACATGCGTGTGCCCACGTGTGTGTGTGTGCGCGCGCACACACACACACATGCATTAGCATATTCAAAAAGTTTCTGGGGAAAGGTCGGTGTTGTTGCCTAGGTAAAGCTGCGGCCTACAGTGGGGGCATCCCATATGGGCGTCGGTTCAAGTGCCTGCTGCTCCACTTCCAATCCAGCTCTCTGCTATGGCCTAGAAAAGCAGTGGAAGATGGTCCAAGTCCTTGGGCCCCTGAACCCATGTGGGAAGACCTGGAAGAAACTCCTGGCTTTGGATAGGTGCAGCTCTGGCCATTGTGGCCATCTAGGGAGTGAACCAGCAGACAGAAGACCTCTCTGTCTCTGCTCTCTGTAACTCTGCCTTTCAAATAAATAAATATTTAAAAAAGTTTCTTGGAAGTGTACATTATGAAAAAACTGCATGGATTTTAAGTTAGGGGTGTCGGCCGGCGCCCTGGCTCACTAGGCTAATCCTACACCTGTAGCGCCAGAACCCTGGGTTCTAGTCCCGGTCGGGGAGCCTGTTCTGTCCCGGTTGCTCTTCTTCCAGTCCAGCTCTCTGCTGTGGCCTGGGAAGGCAGTGGAGGATGGCCCAAGTGCGAAGGAAGACCTTTGTCTCTCTCTCTAACTCTGCCTATCAAAAAATAAAAAATAAAAAAGGGGTGTCAAAATAAACTTATCTTTTGATTTCATTTTCCACAAACTTTTTGAAGCATCTGTGTTCATCCAGTTGTTTTAAATTTCATAGTAATAGGGGCAGGCATTTTGCAGATTGAATCCCTGCCTGCAGCACTGGCAGCCCATAGGGAGATCCCGGCTGCTCCATTTCCGATCCAGCTCCCTGCTAATGCACCTGGGAAAGCAGTTTAAGATGGCCCGAGTGCTCCCACCTCAAGTGGGAGAGCCAGATGAAGCTCCTGGCTCCTAGCTTCAGCCTAGCCCAGGCTTAGTGGATGAGGCCCTCAGGGGAGTGAACTGGAGATGAAAGATCTCTCTCTGTCTCTGTTTTCTCTCTGTGTAACTATTTCATATACATAAATAAGTATTAAAAATTTTTTCATAGTAATTATAATCTTTATGCAATTCTTTGGCACTTTTTTTTTCACTTATTGTTTTATTGTTAAAATCCAATAATCTTGTGATGTCACTATATTTCATTTATTTTGGCTGCTGTAGCATTCCATTTTGTGAATGAAATGCCACAGTTTATTCATTTGATGGGCATTTGGGATTGTTTTCTGATTTTTGGTCTCATGTACACTATCAGTATAAATATTCATGTAATACCTTATAAATATTCATATATATTCTGATGTAAATATGTCAGGGCTTTTGGATATATAACTAAGAAACTGAAACTCTCAAGTATTTACCTAGGACTAAATTATCTAAATTTAGTATATAATGTCCAACTCTATTCCTAAGTGTGTCCATTGATTTTCTTTTCTTTTTTAAAAGATTTATTTATTTGAAAGCCAGAGTTACACATAGAGAGAAAGAGAGGCAGAGAGAGAGAGAGAGAGAGTGAGCTTCCATCTCCTGGTTCACTCCCCAGTTAGCCAGATCCGAGCTGTGCAAATCCAAAGGCAGGAGCCAGGAGCTTCTTCCTGGTCTCCCATGTGGGTGCAGGGGCCCAAGGACTTGGGCCATCTTCTACTGCTTTCCCAGGCCACAGCAGAGAGCTGTATCAGAGGTGGAGCAGCCGAGATTTGAAGTGGCACCCATATGGGATACCAGCACTGCAGGTGGCGGCTTTACCCACTACACCACAGCACTGGCCCCTCCATTGACTTTCACTGTCACTTGTAATATAGAAGCCTTGAAATTCTAGGGTCTACATCCCTTCCAACATTTTATACTGTTAGGCTTTTCATTTTTGCCAAACCATTGTGTGCTTTATCTTGGTATTTATCCTGTATTTCTTGATTACAGTAAAAGATGTTGAACATCTCTTCATGTGATGGTTGGTCATGTGCATTTCTTATGTGAAATGTCTGTCCATCTTTTTGCATTTTTCTCTTGCTATTTTTGCTTGTATTCTTGATATTATCAGTGTGTATTGTATTTTCTTCTAGTTTGTACTTTATCTTTTTATATTTTTAAGATGCCTACTGATGAGCCAGATTCCTTGATTATAATACAAACTTCTCAATCCTTTATTCTACAGTCTCAGTGTCTTTTTAAAGAATCTGTTTCTACCTCACAGTCTAAAATAAGTTTTTTATTTTTCACTAATAACTTTAAAGTTTTGGGATATTTAAGCCTTAGAGCCATTAAGAGTTGACTTTTAAACTATGGTGTGAGGTGGTGATCCAGCTGAATCTTTATTTGTACAGAAAGCCATGTTTAATTGAACATTTCTATATGTGTCCCCCCCTTTGATTCTTATGTTGAAGCTCTAAATTCCAATGTGAAGATATCCAGAGGTGAGGCCTTTGGATAGTGTTTAAATTTAGTTGAGTCATAGAATGACTAGTGCCCTTACAAAAAGAGGAAGAAATGCCAGAATTTCCCACATTTCTGCTGTGTGAGGTACAGCAAGAAGGTGGCACTCTCTATAATCTTGGAATAAGGTCTCATCAAGAACTCAATCTGCTGGTGCCTTGACCTTGAACTCTCCAGTGTTCAGAACTGTGAAAAACAAAATGTCTTTTGTTCGAGTCTCCTAGTCTATTGTATTTGGTTATAGTAGCCTGAGCGGGATGAGACAATCTGCCATTGTCTCCATATATGTTTTCCATATAGATATGTCTATATTAAAGCTTTATAATCTATTATATGGGTCAAATTTATGGTCTCTGCACAGGAAATCATACCTTCTTGATTAATAGAGCTTTATAGAAAGTCTAACTAGTAGGGTAAGCTTCATAGCTATTGTTGACATTTTATTTTTTTCAAATAAATTTTAAAATAATGGTACAGTAATGTTTCGAAGTTTAATGTTATCCTTGTAGAGAAAAGAATTGATAACCTTAAAATATTGAATGTTTCAACTCATGAACATCATATATTTCTTTATTTGTCATTTTAGTGTCTTTTTATAAAGTCACATAATTTCCCCAAGGAGGGCTTGTGCTTTAATGGTTCGAATTGTTCCTAGCTATTTGATTCTTTATACAGTTATAAACTGCATCTTTATTTAAAATGCTAATTTCTGTTTGTTGCTGACATATAAAAATATATTGATTTTATGTTGTTTTTCAAATCAGAAACATCACTATGTTTTTTGATTATTTTATCTGTAAGTATTTTTGGATTTTCTATACACTCTCTAATATCATCTCTCAGTAATGACAACTTTATTTCTTCCTTTCCAACCCATGTAACTTGGATTTCTTCACTTAACCATGTTGGCCAAAACCTCCAGTACAATCTTAGACCATTTTATTTCATGTCATTTCTTACATATAGGCTCTGTTTTTAAACCCTATATTGAACTAAAATGAGAATTATTACCTCAGAGTCTTTTTTTAAAAGATTTATTAATTTATTTGAAAGGCAAAGCCAAAGAGAGAGAGAGAGGTCTTCCATCTGCTGATTCACTCCCTGTCGCTCCCCCTCTTCATGGAGGAACGACACAGGACCCTGTGCTGTTCTTTTGTCTGCTCGGCCCTTCCCAGGTTTGCTGCTGGTTCTTCCCGGGTTGGCTACTGTCCCTTCCACCTCCGTGGAAGGGCGGTTCCCCCTGCCACTTTCCCCACTTCCGCAGGGGAGCGGCACACCGCCGACCGGCTCTCTCGGGGGCTGCACAGGTGTTCCCTCAGATGTTCCCCTTAGATGTTCCTGGTGCATGCTGTCTCTCTCCTCCCTTATAGTCCTCTTCCGCCAATCCCAACTCGGCTACCCACACGCCGAGTACGCTGCTCTCCTCCAATCAGGAGCAGGTCCTACAGTTTATTGGTTGAACTGGAGGCAGCTGCGTAGAAGCTGTTTCTCCCTTCTCAGCGCCATATTGTGGGAGAGCAGATGCATAGAATAAGTCTTAATTCCAGTAACTTAGTCTAGTCTGAGTTGCTCCCCACACTCCCCAAATGGCTGCAATGATGGGAGCTGGGCCAATCCAAAGCTAAGAGCCAGGAGCTTCCTCAGGGTCCCCCACACAGGTGCAGGGGCCCAAGGACTTTGGCCACCTTCTACTTTTTCCCAGGCC